AAGTTTTCAAGCTCTAAAAGATAACAACTTCCAATCCTGATGTATGTACCCTGCAGAACTTTCCTTTAAGATTGATGGAGAAATAAAAGTTATTCCTATGACAAGGATCAACTAAAGAAATTCATGACCACCAAACTGGCATTACAAAAAAATTTCTCAAGGATATCCCAGAAAGAGTTAGTGAAGCCAGCAATGTTAATAAGTCAAAAAGGATCAACATACTTGGTGGGATGACCAGCTAACCAAAAGGGGGAAAATGAGGAAATCAGCAACAGGAAAATAATGCAGTGACAGGGATGAATCAGTGCTTCTCAGCAACAGCTCTCAATGTGAATGGTCTCAATTCCCCAATCAAAAGACACAGATTGGCAAAATGGATCAAGAAAGAAAATCCAACAATATGCAGCATACAAGAAACACATTTAATTCAAAAGATACTCACAGATTTAAAAAACCAAAGGATGGAAAACAATATTCCATGCAACAGGAACTCAGTAAAAACAGGGAGTTGCTGTCTTAATTTCAGATAAAGTGGATTTCAAACTAAAACTGATAAGTAAAGACAAATAAGATCACTACATGTTAGTTAAGGGAACAATTAAATAAGATTTAACAAGTATAAACATGTATGCACCAAATATCAACACACCCAGCTTCATAAAACAAATACTAACAGACATGAAAAATCAGATAAACACCAATCTTCCCAAAAGAATTAAAGATATCATACTACAGTGATCTATACATACCCGTATTTATAGCAGCACAATTAATAATAGGTAAATTTTGGAAACAGGCTATATGTTCACCAACAGATGTATGGATTAAAAATGCGGTATTTATATATAATGGAGTACTACTCTGCCATAAAGAAGGATAAACTTGAGCCATTTGCAAGAAAATGGATACCCTTTGACACCTTAATGTTAAGCAAAGTAACTTGGACACACAAGCTTAAATATGATTTGTCTAATATGAAAAACTCAGACAGATAATAGGAAAAAAGAGAAAGAGAAAAAGGTGTTATAATCCAGCACAGACAATGCATTTAAAAGGGTATAGTACAATTAGTACTACAAGTGTACTAAGTGTAGTACAATTAGTACAATTGTCTTACATGTTTTATGTGTTCTTTGGCCTATTATTTTTGTTTTTAAACTGTATAGATGACAATTAACTTTATAAGGTCTTATAAATAAATGAATCTAGTACTGGAAAAAATAAAAGGATGTGGGAAGAAGAAGGAAAAGAAAGAAACTGAAACATGTTATACACATGGGCCAACTCCTTACAGTGAATTCAATCATTATGTGCTGCAAAAATGTACTTATAAAAAAAATAAAGAATCAACAAATGGGATCATATCAAATTAAAACATATCTGCACAGCAAAGGAAACAACAAATAGACCGAAGAGACACCCTACAGAATAGGGGAAATTTTTGTCGGACATTGGACTAATATCTAGAATATATAAAGAACACAAAAAGTTAGATCCCCAAAATGAAAGACCTAATCCCCAAAGAAAGATCCCAAAAAAACTGGGCAACTGAAATGAACAGACACTTCTCAAAAGAAGAAACACGATGACCAATAAACATGAAAAATGTTCAGCATCTCTGGCCACCAAAGAAATGCAAAATTCATAAAACAACACTGAGATTTCACCTTACTCCAGAAAGAATGACTATCATCAAGAAATCAGATGACAATAAATTTGTGGCTACAGAGGAATGGGGCTTCTACATTGTTGGTAGGAATGAAACTAGTAAAACCAGTATGGAAATCGTCATGGAGATTCCTGAAAAATCTAAAGCAAGGTACAGGATTCCATTCCACCCAGCCATTGCTCTTCTATGTCTCTTCCTAAAAGAGTTAAAGAGATCACATTACAGTGATACATGCTACCTATATTTATAGCAGCACAATTCACAATAGCCAAATCTTAGAAGCAGTCTATATGACTATCAACAGATGAATGGATAAATAAAATGTGGTATTTATATCTGATGGAATACTACTCTACCATAAAAAAGGACAAACTTGAGTCATTTATAGAAAAATGGATGCACCTGGAGAGCATACTATTAAGTGAAATAAATCAGATGCACAAGCTTGAATATCATGTTTTCTTTTACATGGGAAACACAAAATATAAATGAAGAGCAAAACAGAAGATAGATAATAGGAAATCATGAGATAGATCTTTTGCATATGAGAAGGGGACCATTAGATGGAAGGAGCGGGGATAAAGGAGAGGCAAACACAATTTTAAAAAGAATTAGGATGTTCTGTAAACATGCACCAAATCCCTAAGAGGAACATAGTCATTATATACTACAAACATGCACTAATAGAAAAATAAATGAATACAAAGTAAATACAACTATCTGCTCCTATGTCCCTTTAAAATTTCTAATAATTTCTCCATGCCATCTTATTTTTAATTGATATTTGCCAAATAAATCTATTTTATTAGGCTCTTTAAAGGGTTTGTTCTGCTCATTTTGCCTTCTGTTTTACTAACTTCTGTTTTTACCTATAACAATATGCTTCAAATTTTTTTCATTAACACCCTTTTAGGATTGTTCCTTAAACACTTTCTAGAATTTTTAGAATTTTTCCTTAAACACTTTCTATCCCTGCCCATATAAAATGTGAAACCATACATAAAGTATATGTCTACATAATATGCTCTTTTGGAAGCCACGACTGTTTTGATATTTAATACCTTCCATTCCCTTTAAGAACCGAGTATTTGCTACTTTAGGATCAATAGTGCTAGGATCCTACTGCTAGATGTATTGCCCATGGTAATGTCTCTATTTTCTTTGGGTTTGTTCTCCTTTTCCCCTGAGTTAAAAGCTTATTCACTCACTTCATTCTTTTTTTCAGACAAAAAATTTAAGTCTATAAGTTGCTACTCTTTTTCCTCTAGTGGCTAGAAGGTGCTGTTTTCATTCAGTTTTAAATTTTTGTAATATGCCCTTTTTTATGTATGGGCTATGTAGAGATTTGCTTTTACATTTTCCAAACTATGGATTTTCAGTGATGTTACCATTGTAAACCTATATTATTAGCTGTCTGGAGTTTATTGAGATGATATATCTTACCACATGGTCAATAGGAATGCTTGCAATCTTTCAATATTTAAGTTTGATGTTTACAGTAGGTTTTTGGTAGATATTATCAATATCAGAAATTATCTTTTGTTACTAGTTTACTAAGTTTAAAATTTGTGTTCAATTTTAACAGATATTTGCCTTTGGAACCCATTGAGATGATCATGCCTTTTTTCTTCCTTCTTCATTTTCCCTTTTTGCTCTTTTAGTTCCTGTTTCTTGCCCTATACTTTCCCTTGGAGACCTAATTAATGTACATTCTCCAAACCATATTTGTGTATCTATGACACGGTAGTATCACTGAAACTAAGCTAAAAATGTCAGTAGTGTCATTTACATTCTGTAACAATCTAGACTACCTATCTCAGGGTTGAAGAGGTAATTTCCCACTATTTTCTCTGCAAATTTAGGCAGAATTACATCAATATTTCATTTCACCTGAAATCTCTTATAGTGGTAGGCATTCCTTTTTTCTTCCCTCTGAAAGCTTGCTTGCTTTCTAGTTAGATCTCAATCCAATCACCTCCTCTAACAGTAATGACTAAAATGTAACTCTTTTATAATTCCATTTTTAAGATTCATCTCCTGATCTTTCCTTTTCCTATTAACGCTGTAATCAAAGAACACAATCTTTCTAAATCAGTCCTTTCCTTCCTCCAGCTTAATCAGCCTGCCTTTCTTTACTTTTCACTGCTCATTACTTTTGACTTCGAGATCTAAATATATATATGAAACAAATACGGCTCTTACTTAATTCCCTGAATATGGCTGATTCCTATTGGCAGAAGAATCTAGGCACAACTCTTTTTCTTCTTGTCTTTGTTTTTCCCTTCTACAAAGTCCTATATAATAAATATTTCCACTCCTCTTTTTTTTTTTTTTTTTTTTTGGTTTTTCTCCGGTACCGGGAACTGAACTCACGACCTTGCGCTTGCCAGGCAGACGCTTTTTGCCGCTGAGCTAAATCCCCAGCCCCTCCACTCCTCTTTATACATTCATGATAAAATACATTCTTCTTCTGTGGTTGAACATATAAAGAATTTCAGAAGCCTCAGATTCCACTCCTGGGGTTTACATAGTCCACAGAGAATATGTCTAACCTCTATGAAATAAAGAACTTGGTCCCTCCCATTTATCTGCTTATCCCTATAAAAGGATGCAATTCAGTCAAGATGGTAAAGTGAAGTGAACTTGGGTAAACCCGAGCTAATGCTACCTGATAAGCTTTCACACAATTTAAGGGCAGGAGTTTCCTAAACTTGTATTCTTAATGACTATGTGTGGAATTTAGGCTATTGTATCGAAAGTCTTCACACATTCTGGCTGAGAATAAAGGCAATACAATTTGACCCATTCAGTGGTACAATATCTTCCCTCTCTGCAGCAAGCTTATCTCGGCTACATCTATGTGATTCAAGATCAGCCACAGTGGCCTGGATAGCTATACCCAGTGCCTCTAAAAAATAGCGGCTTGCAGGCAGATACTAGCTACATAAACAGATTAGACTTGAAAAAGCCAAAGAACTGAAAGGTCTAAGTCGCTAAAGCATTAAAGCCCTGTTCCCATCTAACCTCCATATATCTTACTTTGGTTCCCTAATTCCAGTTGGAGTGCCTATTCCTCAAGATTTAACATTCAATATACACTCAGATGTGTTAGCACTTAAAGGAGAAAATTAATCATATCCCTTCTCCCTCCAAGTGTTCAACCAAACGAATAATAGATACATGAATCAGAATAACAAATATCAAAATATCAGGACTGTTAAGAAAGCTGTATCATAATAAAAACTGGGCTAATAAACTGCCTCTTCAGTCCCTCCCAATTCCTGTCTTGAGGTGACCCATCAAAAGGAAAATACGCAAAGAAAACACTTACCTGGAGAGCAGCTGGGAGCATCAGTGCCTCCGAAGCAGGTGAGAGGTGCTCTTCAGACCTGCCTGTGGAAGGCAGACCTGGTCTCATCAGGTATGTTTACCTGATGAAGGCAGGATCAGAGTAGAGTGTATATATATATTATACGTAGGGAGGTGCAAAAGAGATATGTAGTGTGTGTGTATGTACAACGACCCACCGCCTTAGGTCTCCATCAAAAAACACAATCTTTCTCCTTAGAGAAGGGAAAGGTAGAAATTGAGCAAGGAATGATATTCAAATATTGTTCCCTCCTGGAAAAACAGAGGGATATGGACAAATAACAGATTCTTGTCCCTGTGAGTAGAGGCAAAACTTGTACTCTTATCCTGCTTCCAGCAGGAGCAGGGGATTCATCTCACTCAAAACCAAAGTCTGACCTAGAATTTGTTCTCAGCTTCCAACCCAGAATTCAGGAAAATTTCTATTAACAGATTCTGTTACGGGATCATTCCTATACAGGATTTTACGATGACAGGGGTGAGGCAAGGACCCAGAGCTTCAGCCTGACTCCAACCATCATCCAGATATATTTACTCACAGAGCTCCATCTGATTAACAAAAGGAAAAAGAAACATCAATAGATCTAGGAAGCTCTTTTTAAGGCATTTCACTAATAACTATGCTTAAAGAAGTCTCTGGTCACTGGAGTGAAAAGAACAACAAGACCATCCTAAAAACCCTCCCTGTTATCAGGTTCTTCTGGGGTCCTGGGTTTCTCCCTTTCCACCACTAAGACCTAAGAGGACTTAGAGCACCCCAGAATCAGCCTACCAATGAAAAATATATCACATAAAGGTTGTCAGTGGCCACCCTCAGACAAAAGTCCCATGGTAGAACCCAAATAAAGATAGTATTTGGGAGTTTAGGAGTCAAAAGTCATTTATCAATGGGTATTTTGAAAAGCTATCTTTTGGTATTTTTTTTAAGTGTATGTGTTTTTTTGTTTTGTTTTGTTTTGTTTTGTTTTTTGTTTCGTTATTTGACTCAATTCCATAAGAGTAAATGGGAGCTTCTTTCCTCTCAGCTTTAGTCCACTTAATGAAGGGATAATGCAGGGGACAAAGGAAAAATTGAAGCCTTCATTGGGGCCCATAGTGTCCTACCTACCCAGGCGGGCTAAGAAAACAGAGCAGAGGGATGACTCTTCCTACCCACCAAAATCACCTCCACAATTGAGGGCCCACTCTTCCCATATGTAACCCAAGGACAGCCCCACCTGCCCTGTTATACTCCCACCCAGAAACACTGATCCTCTTCAGGGCCACAGACTATGCTCTTAGTGTTCTCATTAAGAATCCCAGGGGCTGGAGATATAGCTCAGCAGCACAAGCGCCTGCCTGGCAAGCGCAAGGTCCTGAGTTCGATTCCTGGTACCCAAAAAAAAAAAAAAAAAAAAAAAGAATCCCTCCCTTACAAAGTGTAGGAGGACTTAGTAGTATCCCAATCCTATGTTTGTATCCTGCTCTCAAGGACACTGGAATCCCCGGGACCAGAGAAAGGAAACTGACACTGAAATTCTAGCAGTTAAAAAAAAGGCCTCTCCCCAGATATCAAAGAATCATTCTCAGGTTTAAATCCATACAATGTAGAGAATGGGAATGAATGTAACCTGTTAAGAAAAGCACTTTTGGGTTAGGTACAATAAGCAAAGCGTTCAGGATAAAACCCACAATTTGAAGATACATAGAAGAATAAGGTAAGAAGGAATCCCAGTGGCAGGAAGGTAGAGTGATGTCTTTTGTCAAAGGGTCCATGGAGTGGAGGAAGATGGGAAATCAAGTATGAGGGAAAGAGTCATTAGAAAGTCAGACACATCAGTTCTACCCTTGGCTCTTGCCAGCAATTCAACATATGACTTTGAGATGATACAGACATCAATATCTTCATCTGCAAAATAGGTGAAAGCTGTTTGTTTAATCAGGTGCCTGTTATGGTTCTCTGAGATTATGACATCCTCCACAAATGTGATTGATGGATTAGTACAAGATATCCAGGAGGGGGCCAGAGGAGACCTCTCCAGGTTGGGAAATTCCTTTCATCCTCATCTCTAAAGAAAGAGTCACATATATACACATTCACACATATACAAGCAGAGTGGTCAATTATTTCATCTACAGCAGCAGGGACACATAGTAGGAAAAATAAACATTGTTGATGCTTGATTTCTTCATGGGGTTGGGGGAGAAGGGCCCTGAGGATGCAACCTTGGAGGGACTTCACAGACAGAGGAGAAGGATCCTATTATTTAATAAAAGCTATCACTGTGTTGCTCCTTTGCCAAATCCAAGGCAGCCAGTTCTTTGGAAATCAACCTTTCACCTTGCCTCCTCCCACCCATCAATCCACCTGTAGCAGAAACACAACGCTCAGACCTTGAGGGAAATAAACCACTACTTAACCACTAAGAAATTAATAGAATTTACCACCCCTGAGATAATTTGAGGTTGGGCACCTGGGACCACATGCCTCTGTTTCCCTGAATATTATCCATGGTTTTGCAAGGTCTTATTTTAGACCTACCCCACCCAAAAGTTGACCAGGGTTGCCATTTAGATGACCATCATTTTCTGGTACTCTTATGGTTGTTCCCACATTGTTTAACTAATCTCATTCTGAGTGATCCTGAAAGTTACCATTTGTAAGTAGGAATTCAAGGTGGGAGAATTGGTACGACGCAAAAGCATGATTTCAAATCCTGCTATAAAACCTACAAACAGACTCACACCACTCTTCAGACACCAAGAAGCATCTGCCAGCCATACATCCACATGGACGCTTACATAGCCTCTCCTAGCAGAGGTAGCTGGGGCAACTCGAGGAGGACATCAGCATCCTATCAACCTTGAATCTTTGTTTAAAAGATACTAAAATAAATTAGTAAACATTGCTGTTTACAGAAACTGAAATCATTTCTGTTTCCAAAGGCCTCTCACCAACCCAGTCCTGGACATTTCCAAGACTGCCACCCCTGACACCCTCTCCAAGGTCCACCCTGATGGGTGAGTGAGACACCAGTCCTTTGAGACTGGGAGCTCCTCAGGCATCTGAGAGTTCCAGTTTCACATTCTGGTTCCAAGGTGGGGAGAATCTTCAGTACTCTGCAGAATACCGAAGTTCATCCCTTCTCACAAGTTCCTGGGGTCTGTCTTGAGGCAAACCCTACTTTTAGGATGGTATTTGTGTTGCAATAATTTTCGCTATTTTCTGGCTCCCAGTCCTTTCCACAGTCCAACATGCCCGTCTGGACCCACCCTCAGAGGGGAGGACTCAGTCTGTGCCTTGGTCTAATAACTCTGAAAGCGTGGGATGGGCAGAGAGAAAGCGGAGACAATGACCTCGGGCAATCGTCCTTGAGGGGACAACAGACAGCAATGACTGTCCTACAAGGAGGTAGTGAGGCTGGGTGCCTGGCCAGAGCCAGAGCCAGAGCCAGAGCCAGAGCCAGAGCCAGAGCCAGAACTTTCCACCACACTGGTAGATTCCGGATTGACACGAGGTGTGCGACGACGCCCCCGGTACTCTATCATGTCAGGATGATAAGTTGGATGGCGGCGGGCGTGCTTGGTCAAGTGGTCGCTCCGGGAGAACTGCTTGGGGCACAGGGGACAGGAGAAGCGCTTTTCACCCGTGTGCGTCCTGTAGTGGCGGGCCAGCTCGTCAGAACGCGTAAACTTCTTGTCGCAGTCGAGCCAGTCGCAGGAGAAAGGGCGCTCACCCGTGTGGGTACGCTGGTGGGACTTGAGGTGCGATGACTTGTAGTAGGCTTTGGTGCAGCCCGGGAAGGGGCACTGGTGGCGCTTGGCAGCAGGTGTTGCCGGCTTTCTCCTGTGCATCTGACCTGCTGCAGGGGCGGGGCTGGCCCCTGGGGCCCCGCCGGACACCCCACAGGTGACTGCAGGCAGGCCCGGGACCGCTGGCGCACTTGGGACGGCGGGCTCGCCAGATGAGCTCGAGGGTCCCGGAACCGCTTCCGCGCTGGAGGCTGGGTCGGGCGCGAGGACCTGGGGCGGCCCCGAGCACTGGGTCGGGTCGGAGGAGCCAGACGAGTCGCGCAGAGCTTCCTCCAAGTTCGCCCCGAAGCCTTCTCCAGAGCTGCCGCGCAAATCAGCCAAGACGCTTGCAGCCAGCAGGTGGGGCGCGGCGCCGCCCGCGCCGGGGCTGGGGGCGGAGACCCGGTGAGGCTGGGGGACCGAC